TCTTACAAATAGTATTTCAACAAAATAAAGCCAACTTATTAACTGAATATACAAATCAGCATAATTCTGACCAGAATTCTATCGACTATTTGGTTAGAGCTACATGTGTTGAACCCTTCAAATCCTTTCCAACTTCACTGGCCAACCTGCCTGAGAACAACTAGTACAAAAATTACATCATAGGTGAGGCAACTCAATTTTTTAAAAAGTTGTACTTTTTTTTTAACCTAGAAATTATTAATTCTGTATCGTTAAACTATAAAGCTTATTTTATTTTGAATGTATCTTATTTTTAGAAGTACATTCCCGGGGCTGGTGAGATGGCTCAGTGGTTAAGAGCACTGACTGCTCTTCCAGAGGTCATGAGTTCAAATCCCAGCAACCACATGGTGGCTCACAACCATCTGTAATGATATCTGATACCCTGTTGTGGGGTGTCTGAAGACAGCTACAGTGTACTTACATATAATAAATAAATTAAAAAAAGATATAAAAAAAAAAAAAAAAAAAGAAGTACATTCCCAGACAATTTAAAGAAATACGTTTTAATAGTATGTTCAAGTCAGAAGTAACCCATATAACACTAAACCAATCTTTACTCAATCTCTTTCTAGTATCTATAATTAAAAAGGGAAGGATAAAAAGGTGACTAAATATTCCCTGCCCTCAGAAGAAATGACAGGCCATGAGCAGGAAGCACAGCCAAACCATTTCAATTGAGGAGTGACCTAGCTTTCGTAAAGTAAACTGGCACTGAGCCGGTCTTAGTGCCCTTGACTCTCCCTATAGAGGTGCTTTCACGGGCACAGTAGACTGATATGCAGAGTCTACACAATACTGCCTGTGACAACAAAGTGCTAGACTCGATGTGCCTTCAAATAGCAATAGGCAGACAGAAGACACAACGCAGGTCACTTTTTACCACATAAAAAGAATGAATTACATAGTCACTGTAGCCACACCCCAATTAAGCTGAACACCAAGGACAGACTGAACACATATTGTAAGACAAGATACTTAACCATATGACAATAGATATACATTATGTGAAGACAAATGCCATGTGCACGTTGAAATACTTTTTAAAATTCCTAGGTCATCAACACAGCTGCCTCTGGAAGAAGCCAATGGAAGGAAACACTGTGAAGCGGTGGACGCTAACAAGGGTTGCTTTACCACTTCAAAGAGCAGCAGAAAGTTTAACAGAACTACTAACAATTTCGGTGTGGTTAGCACAGATCTACCGCTCTTTGGTATTTTGTATCTCTTCCTGTCCTTCCTCCCTCCTTTCCTCCTTTCCTCCTTCCCTCCCTTCCCTGCACCACCCTGCCCTCCTCTTTCCCCTCTACTGTCCGACATGGGGTACAGGCTCTTGGACTTCCAGCCTCCAGGACCATATGCCAGATAAACCTCTGCTTTGACAAATTACTAAGCCATGGGTATTCTACTAGAGCAGAAGAAAATGGACTAAGGCAGTGCTCTAGTTAGATATAACTTTAAAAGTTTATTCTACTTAAGTTGGAACCACAAATAAGAATATTCACATTCTCTTACTGCTTCACATACAAAGGCAATTTCAATTTGTAGTGTTCTTCATGCAATTAGTATTTCACATGGCAGAAAAAATAAATCTCCCCACTAATACCCACTAATACTACCTAAAGGAAAATAACTTTCAGTGAGGCCCCACGGCAGCAGAGACTGTAAGCATTACATCTTTATAGTTGCATCAGGGATGGAAAAGCTGTCAGTGGAACATGGACCGAGACAATGCTGCCACCTAAAGGCCAAGGCCTAACATGAAAGATGCCTGCTCCAGCAACTACGGGAAGCCACAAAACCAATTAACTGCAGTAATTCCCGACTACACAGGCAAGCAGGAGCTCTAACAGTGTTTTAGAGAAGATTCAATTCATTAAGAGAACAGAATAACAGAGTTCATTTGAATACTGGACAAAGCACAGATCAAACTCTGCTGGCATCTTTTCTGAGACACAGTTCTTTTTTGAATACCTCTATTAGTAGCTAATAAAATTGGCAAATGACCAATATACTTGTCAAAGCAGAAACAGTTGACTACTTACGTATTTCATTTATTATATGAGTATGTTTAAGTTCTATGGAAAGTTAGTTATCAGAGAATCAATCATTCAACAGAGCTCAATGTGTTCTGAATTTCCTTCTAAGAACCTTAATGAGAATGACGTTGGCTTCTCTTTAAGGTTTATTTAAACACCTAAAATCCCCCATGAAATAAAAACAAAATCCAGATCTGCTTCTCTTTGGATTGAAATATATGCCACATTTTCAATATAACACAACATGAACAAAACCAGAAAGAAAATAAAACATATGCTCCCAACATGAACAGCACCACCTCTGGAAAGCCGTAGGCTAAATCCTACAGGAACAGCAATGCACGGCAACTCTGTGCTTACAAGAGCACATGTGCCAATCAGACTACCAAAGATACCTACCAAAGATTAGAAAATGTTTAAGATAGGATTAATAGCTTTTCATTTATGTTGTGTACCAGGGGTACCAAAGATTACTTAATAAACTAATTTGTGATAAAATATGAACTACCTTAAGCTTCTAGTGGATCTTATGAGTCAGTCTGCACTGACCAGTGAGATTATTTATTATGCCACTTAATCTTCAACTATAACCTGAAAGACAAATATCGACACACCACCATTAACAAATGAGACTTCACGAGTAATTCTCTCAGGGTCACAACACAAGTGAGAAACAAATGATCAGTCTATCTGACCTTCAAAACCTCTCTACAAGCTTATACACCCTTAAATGACTATACTCACAGTAACTTTAAAGTGGACTTTGAGGTACTCTTTACTGTTACTTCAATGTAAAGGCATATTTTGTGGTATTAAAAGCATTTAATTTTAATTTGTGGTGTTTTAATTTTTAAATAATTTCAAAAAGTATCATCTTAACAGAAGGGGTGATGCATCGAACCCCTTCCATGACTGAAGTTTGTATGTATATGGCATTTTATTACATTTCCAAAACGAACGGGCCCTCCTTATGGACTAACACCCATGGTGCCAGAAACACCAAGGAAGCCCCCAAAGGAAAGAGGCAGCCAACAATTCTCCACACTCATGATGCCTATAAACCACATCAGTGGCCAGCACAGCATGGTAGCCCTAAGGGGGCAGTAGTGGCACGCATACCTTGGTGGTAACCAACAGATCTCTTACTGGATTTAAAACCTGACCAGTAAGAGGGAGACCAACCATGTTGGATGCTAGCAAACTAGCTAACTACTCAGTCAAGTGAAACCATGGTTATCGGAGGAGAATCTACAACCACTAATTTACTAAACCAGTATAATCCCTAACAATCTATAAACACGTGTCCTTATACCCACAGGCAAGTGTAGTCTTCACCCTTCATCAAGGAAACTTCTCTTTGCAATAGAGAGACCACCACAGAAAACCCACAACCAATCAAAAGGCAATTGTGAACCCCAGTCCCTACAGATACATCTACAAAGAACTCCCTCACCTAAGGCTCAGGGAACACTGCAGAAGATTCGGCGGCATGATTATAAGAGACAGAGGATCATAGAGTTTGCCATGAGATTGTGTCTCCTAGTAACATCAGAAGCTAGAACCATAGAGTCATACAAATGTGACTGCCCAACATAGGCTCAACAATGGCAACATCAACACACATGCCGAGCTGGCTGGGAAAAGCCCAGGATGCCTCAACTCTACACAACGAACCACAGAGAACAGAGGACGGCTGGGAAGAGAGGTGGTCCTCTCCAGGGAAGAGTGCATCAACTGGTTGTCCAATACCAAGTGGTCAGCCCTGAAAACACACATTCAAACAACTATACAAACTGAACAAACCATACTCAGAAATATATATGCATACAATAGCGATCAGTGGAAAGCAGTTGTGAGTTTGAGAGTGGGTAAGGGCATACAAGAGGGCTTGGACAGAGGAATGGGAAGGGAGAAATGTTATAATTACATTTTTTTCTTTCATTTCAAATTTTTTAAAACTGAAAAGGGCAACAAAAATGTCTCCATTTTGAGATGCAAGTTTAAAAGTGAGTCTTTTTTATAAATACATTATTTTGACACTGGAAACTCCCACCACCTCCTCCCAGTGATAACATTTCCTGGTCATTGATATGCTATCCCTATCAGTCAAAATTAAATGGCTTTGAGTTTCATTTAGATAAAAGCTACAGCATAGGTGAACCTTAAAAAGACACGAAAGATCAGTGTAATATGATTCCACCTCTACTAAAACATATAAAATAGGCTAACTCACAAAAAAATAACAGAAAAAAATTAGCAGTTACCATATGCAGGGAAAGGGAAACGGGAAGCAATGGCTAATGAGTGGAGTCTGAGCTGATAAAGAAAATGTTATATAATTAGGTACTAGTGATGACTACATAGCTTTATGAATATAATAAAAACCAATGAACATTATGTAATTACATCTCAAGAAGAAAAAAATTGAGCAGAACATTAATCCATCACGAGACACGTATGCATGTGCTCAAAATATAAAACTTACCTAATTATCAAGATTCTTTGCCTGAATTTACTAGATTCTTTCTTTTAACCATTCTAAGTAAAAAGCTCTGTTTATAAATATATACATTTCTGGGCATTAAAATGTTTCTAATCTAGCATTATAATTCCTAGAGGCACCATGGGAACAATGAACAGATTTAGCTAACAAATCTTATCTATCCCAGTATGCCTGAGTTAGATTCACTGTCAGAACTCTTTAAAGGCACAGCAGCATACATTACTGACAGTTTAATAACCCAGCACCACACATGAGCATCTATTCTCTTAAGGGACCAGACTATAAACCAATTGGACGACTTCTGCGTTTCAATGAGTAGTATTTGCCACTTGATAACCAGAAGACAACTTGTAAACAGAATAAAAGGAATTCAAAGGGTAGGAACAAACTGAACATCACGGACGAGAACAAGTACTTACTAATTTGTTCTCCTGCATGTATATCCTTTGTAACTTCAGGCAGCTCTTAGCTATGACAATCATGCCTTCATCTGAGATCTTGTAACACTGGCCAAAATGAATGTCTTTGAGTTCTCTGCATTTTGAGCCCAGCTGTAAACAAAGAGATTTGGCTCAATGCTCGGAAAATAACAAAGGCAACACATTTCTAGTGAGATTTTCGTGCAATATTCTAAAGAAACCATTCAAGAGATTAAAAAAAAAATGATTTGTAAGTTACTTTTAAAATAACATAAAGTAACAGAAGCGACTAATAATTTAAAACGGTATTTTATAAACCATCCACCTTCTAGCATACTTGTTTCAATTATATCACAGAACACCAATGTACACAGACTTAACAGTTTTAAGTTCACACTTTCATTTAAGTCTTAAGAGTGTATATTCTGGGGTTGGAATTGGGGGGACCTAAATATAGAAATGACGGCATAGTCATATAAATCACTATTGCATAGCCATTAAAAACTGGAATACTGGAAAAAGAGAAAAATGAAAATGCATACATACTTTCACAGCAAAATGTGTATATATGCACAGATGAACAGACACATACACAGAGACTGAAATGCAGACTGACATGCAGACAGTCAGCTTGAATGACTGCAGAGAGATTCATCCCTCTGACTGTCCTTTCATTGAGTTTTGAAATCAGCACACAGTACTGCTTCATTGTGTGATTCCCAAGCAAATTTGTTTTGGTTGATTCTCCTCTCTGCTCATGTCCCTTCATCTTCCACTGCTTCATGTGTGTTTTCATGTCACATGTCACATGGCTTCTCTTGTCCTAGGTTCTTCCTCAGAAAAATTGCTCTCCCATATGTGCTCTCTTTTTGAATTTCTCAATCTTTGCACATACTCTGCTCCCTCCACCAACCCCATGTCAGTCAGTCTCTCTCCCTCTCCCTCTCCCTCTCCCTCTCCCTCTCCCTCTCCCTCTCCCTCTCCCTCTCCCTCTCCCTCTCTCTCTCCCTCTCTGTGCGTGCTTGTGGGTTGGTGTGTGTGGTGGTTTCCCCCCCCCCCCCCCGCCTTTCTGTGTATTAAGAGTTGAAATTCACATATGAGACAAAACTTGCAGTCTTTATCTTTCTGTGTCTGGGTCAATTTGTTTAGATGAATAAATTAAAGATCTATGTATTGTTCCTAAAATTCCACAATTTTTCTTTATACCTAAGCAAAATTCCATGGTGTCCACCATATCCGATCATCTACTGACAGACATCTAGGCTGATTTCATGTCACTGCTATAACAAATAAAGCAGCAGTCAACATGAATGGCCAAGTATCTGTGTAGCAGGATGCAGAGACTTATGAGTAGACGCTCAAAGGGTAGACATATTTTTATTTCCCAGCAAAACTTCAATAGTCACTTCCAAAAGGGCTTCACTTGCCTATGCTCCCATCAGCAGGGACCAAGGCTCCTCTTTCCCAGCATCCTCGCCACGCTTTCCTGTCACCACTTTTGATGACAGCTCTTCTGACTCGGGTGACATGGAATCTTGAAGTTATCTTCATTTGCATTTCCCTGATAGCTAAGGCTGCTGAACACTTCTGTAAATCCTTATTGGCTATTTGCATTTCTTCTGAGAACTCTTGTTTCATTAGCTCACTTCTTTTCATCTTTAGGGAGTATTTAATTTTTTGTAATTCCTCATAAATTCTAGATGTTAGCTCTTGCCGAGAGTATAGCTGGCAAAGACTTGATGCTCCTTTGCAAGCTGCCTGGTCATGCTGCTGACACTGTTAATCTTGTGTAGTCCCATTTGTTAATTCCTGGGGTTGCTTCCTATTCAGAATGCCCCTAGCGCCACTCTATCTTTAAGTGTATTCCCTGTTTCCAGTTTTACATTAAGGTTTCTGATCCACTTTGAATTCTTTTTTTTTTTTTTTTGGTTTTTCGAGACAGGGTTTCTCTGTGTAGCACTGGTTGTCCTGGACTGGAACTCACTCTGTAGACCAGGCTGGCCTCAAACTCAGAAATCCGCCTGCCTCTGCCTCCCAAGTGCTGGGATTAAAGGCGTGCGCCACCACCGCCCAATCTGAATTCACTTTTGTGCAGTGTGAAAGATAGGAATCCTGAAGTCATTCTTCTGTCGAATATGCTCAAACAGGCAGTCAGAGCTCTGTGGGTTTATATTAGGGTCCTCCACCCTGACCCACTGATTTACATACCTTATTTTTCTCAAAGTATTATATGGTCTTGACACTATAGTTGGGTAGCAGAATTTGGAGATGAAGCATTATAATACATCCAACTGTGTTCTTTCTCCTTTTGAATTCTTTGGCTATTATTGGTTATACATTTCCATATGATTTTTTTTTTAATTGTGTTTTCTACTTCGGTAAAGACTGTCATTGGAAATTTGACGAAACATGTATTAAATCTGTATACTAATTTTCATAATATAGACATTTTCATAGCATTAATACTGCCAATCCAAGAAGATCCTGCTGTTGTCTGGTGTCTTCTCTGGTTTCTTTTTTTCAGTGTCTTCAATTTTTTATTGTAAAACTCTTTCACTTCCTTAGTAAGGTTTGTCCCTGGATAGTTTGTTATCAGTATAAAACAAAGTCACTATCTTTTGTATGTTGATTTTGTATTCTGCACCTTTACTGAAAATGTATATTAGAGTTTTCAAGCACAGTCTATAGGATCCTTCAAGTATAGGATCAAGCTGTCTGTAAATAAAAATAATTTGACTTCTTTCTCTCCTGTTTTTTACTCATCTCACATTATTACTGCTCTAGTGAAAACATCGAGTTAAAACCTACTGAAAAAAACTTGCAAGAGTAGAACTCCTCCTCACTGCTGGTTTTAGAGGAAATATTGTTTTTCACCATTTAGTGTTGTGGTGGCTACAGGCTTTATTGTTCTATGGAATGTTCCTACTGTCCCTCATTTCTCCAGGGCTCTCATCATGAGGACACACTGAATGTTCAAGTCCTTTCCTGACTCTATGGAGATAGTATGTGGTTTCAGGGCTTGTCCTTGCTTGTACTTAAGTATCTTTGAATGAATAAAATAGTAATCACCGTTATATATGCAGAACTCTCTTTAAGACATTTTTTCCTCTGTGTTAAAGATTTCACCCCAGGCTGAATGTACCACACCCTCACTCTTCCACTCATCCACATCCCCAGCCAGAAGAGGCCTCTTTAAATACAACAAACACAGGAAGCCATAATTGCTGCTTTATATAGTTCTATGTCATAGTTAATTCCAGATTTCAAAACTAAATCCATGGTTAGAAGAGTAGGTCAGAAAAATAAGAACATGAATTCATTTACCTAAGCTTTAGTTTCTCCTTCAAAATATAAGAAAAAAGGCCACAGTAACAATAAATCCAAAACAGTATAGTAGCTAAATGGTGATTTTGCACACAACATAATCTAAATGTAATCTGTGAAATTACTGTCATTGTAAATTATATATATATATATATATATATATATATATATATATATACAGACACATATGTGTATCACACACACGTGTGTATATATATATATATATATATATATATATATATTTCCATTATTATTCACCATGCTTATTAATATCAGCTGTCAAATCCAATTTAATTCATCAAAAAAAAAAAGATACATTTCTAGAACTTATACCTAAGAGAGCTGAATCCAAACTGATACTTAGAACTCTGAATTGGCTCAACTGTGTTTGAAAGAAGATAACATGGGACTTTTCAGTCTGCCATGTACTACTTTAACCCTTGGACAACCTCTCCATGACTTTCTACACACACTTTGCTCCTGGTCCACAATGGCAAAACAATGCTGTTCTCTGGCCGGAATAACACTCTGCAGGTTGGTATTTGGGAGGCGAGCACAGGATTTGGATTCTGTCTCTAAGAACACAAGCATGTTGCTGATGAAGCTGAGGTTAAACGAAAGCTCATTTCACATGTAACACTAGATCAACTTTTAAAAAGCTACTAAATGTTCCAAACTGAAAGGGTTCATCCATGTCTAACGCAAATGATCAAACAGATCATCACACCACTCGACAATTGTAGCTGTGAGATTCTCCAACTTCCTGTAAAACTTAGATTCATACAAAGGAGTAGGCAAAGAATGCCTCAAACTTAACAACGTTCATAGAAAGGTGCAGAGCTTACCATACAATCCTGAATGACTGTGTTCACAGGACAGAAATCTGTACTCGTAATTAACCCTGGGGGTAGAATTAGAGGTTTGGGGGATACTGTTGTTGTTGTTGTTGTTGCTATTGCTTTCCAGATACTTAAGTTCTCAAAAAAATTATCTCCAATGTACTTTTAATAAGGATGCTATTAATCATATTCTACAAATTCTGAGACTATATCAAAGCAAGAAGACATAACAACCAGGTAATTGGAAATCTAATCCAACATCAAGATGAAAAGAACAAATGAATCATACTGAAGTTATATTAAGGTGACATACTGCTGAAACAGCCCTTATGCACGACAAGTCCAGGTCAGAGTCTTCAGAGTGTACTAGCTAAGTTTAAGAGGGAAGTTCCACTCAGTGGTTACACATCCATCAACGCACTCATGCAACAAGAGAAATCTTTGAGCTCCTCTAGTGCTAAATATAAAAACTGACTAAAGAAGGTGGAAGAAAGATACTAACCCCAACCAGAGCAGAGCATTATACAGATGAATACAGAATATAATTAGACAACATAAAGAAATAATACTCGTTTAACAAGAAGCACAACAGAATTCAGTCACAGGATGAAGGGTAAGAGACAGAAAAATATGGGCAAGGGGGATGAATTCTCATCCTCTGGGGAAAGAAAGCAGCTGTCTAGCTGAAATGGATTAAGTATAAAAAGCAAATAAGCAAGGGAGAGAAAATGCTTCCCTTCTGGAGGAAGTCCAAGCATCCTGCCTCCCAGTGGGGCACAATGATCGCTCTCTATCTAATAAAGGAGCCAGCAGCGCTCACTTCACCTCTACACTCCTGTCCCTGAGGAGCGAACAGCTCCCAACAAACAACCAGCTTTGACTCCTCTGACTGGGACTACTCTGCTGGCCTATTTATCCAGCTATGACTAAGTCAGATGGCCAGATGCCAGGGTCGTGTTGACAAGCACA